GGATGAGAAGCCATTCAGCACTCTCAGTTTGCTTGAGGTCAATGTGACTGTTCATGAGCACAGACTCACAACTAGTGTGATTTACCAAGCCTCTGGGCCTGGTGGAGTTCTACACAAACTTGCACGATCCAGATTCTAGAATAGCACTCTTTATTGAAGCAAGGGGAAAGCGATTTCTGGATTGCCAGTCCTAAATGCAGTGACTACCGAGCGTTAATATGTGTTGAAACAAAGAGTGGGAGATCTATTGGTGCTATATTTATGTAATACTAATATTATATCAAGTGAACTACCTATGAAATATAAGTATGCATTAAATTAAAAATTATGTGGCTATATATTAAAAGATTAAGGTCAGTTGCAACTGTGTCTGGGGATGACAGACTTCATGCAATGCTGACCTAAAGGTGTCCCTTTAGGGGACAAGCAGAAAGATTGTGAGGGATTTATTTATATATAAAAATATTATTCTATCAAGTTAATTATCTATGTGCTATAAAAAATATCAAGAGATTTATGTAATATTACCTAAAAAATATAAATTGAAAAGGAGTGGGACCAGATTTATTTGTGCTATGCTTCTATATAAAACTAATGTTATATTCAATAAATTATAGATCTATGTGCTATAGTAAATATCTCTATGTCCTATTAGTTTTAAATCTATATATACTAAAGAAAAACATTTAAATTTATATCTAAAAAATTTCAGGTCAGGTCCAAGAGGGTGAGCACAATGCTGGCCTAAAGATGGCCCTTCAGGGATCAATGAGAGATATGCTTTGGGATGAGCAGATTCTCCAGCCAGGCCACCACGAACACAAGGAGCAATAGTGGCGATGCCTATCACTTGAGCCCTGAGCAGCTGGAGGTACCAGAAGGAATTCCTGGGCCCATCTAAAAGGGCCACAATGACCATGAGAGTGGGAGGGGAAAGGAGGATGAAAGTCATCTTTGTAGCCCCCCTGGTCATCACTGGAGGCTGAGCTGGGCAGACTGCTGTTAGGGGAATGCTGATGGCAGAGCGCTGCTGCAAAGGGTTTTCCTTTCCCTCTCTCTGTTCCACATGCTCCTCACTTTTTTCCTTGCGGTAGGAGGTGCTTGTCTTTGACCAGTTGTGAGCCCCCCAAGCACAGTTGTGTGCAGGAAGACTTCTTTCAGTGGCCGTCGTGCAGCATTCTTGAGAGCCGATGTCCCAGTTCACGGCACTCGTCCATTGCCTGCGTGTGGGCGACCGGATCCTGTGCCAGGCGATGGAAGAGGTTGGGTGGCTCGGCGGTTTTGACATCAGGGGGCAAGAGAATCTCTTGAGGAAATGTCCGGTTGCCCACAACAAAGTGGTCAAGGCGTTTCTCCTCCAGGGAACTGTGCAGGTACTCCATGGTATCCTCCAGCCGCCGGCGGAAATGCCTCATGCGCCAGCCTGACAGAGGTATGGTGTTCAGGAGGTGCATCACAATGGTCTTCAGGGTATAGGTGGAGAAGTCTATCCCCAGAAGAGCTCGGGCCAAGACATGCAGGCACTTGAGGTGCCAGCTTTTAGGTGGAGCCTGCCAGGCAATGAGCCTAAAGAACTTCATCTCTGCCACGGCGTAGGTTTCAGGCCACATTGTGCTTGGGGTGAAGAGGGACTCTGTAGGCTGGCTGCTCACGTAGATGTCTGAATTGCCGACTTGCACCCCAAAGAGCACCTCAACCGTCAGGCTCTCTCTGCCTCTGGTCAGCTTGAATTTGCAGCAGCGTCTGGAGGGCAGCAGCACTATTTGCCAACTGTGTGACTGAGGCAAAGCCGGCCAGGCCGCTCTCACCAACTGGTAGAACCAGCGGGCAGTTTTCTCCACATCCAGGTAGGAGCCAGTGCAGAGGGTGTTTAGGAAGTTGGGCTCCTCGTTCCTCCTCTGCTCATCCTCTGGGTGGTGGAGGGAGCACAGCACGTTGTCATCCTGCTGCTCCCTTGGGCAGGTGCACACCGGCTCCACGCGGATGAAGAAGTTCCTGCCAGGTATGTGGCCTGAGGTGTCCATCTCCAGATGGAAGGTGTGCCCCCGGGGAGGAGTGAGAGGTACAAGGACACTGTACACCACATCCTCTTCCCGGGGACTCCAACCTTCAAAGGCACTGCCCACCCCAATGGCTCGTTGCGGCACTGGGTATGAACTGTCTGACAAGAGGTGTCCAAAGAACATCATAAAGCTGTCCATCACTAAATTTGTCATCGCTCTTCCTTGCAGCAGGTGCTCTATGTGCTCATCTAAACGCCGTCTCAGGTTGTGGGCAATAACATCATCTTCTTCTTCTACTTCATTTACAACATCGTGGTTTTCTCCTTCATTTGCACCATCGTTGTTGACTTCCCACACAATCGCATCACGGTTTTCTTCCCCTTCATTTCCACCACCATCGCCATCTCCTGCCCCCTCCTCCTGACCATTGTTGTCTGGCTGGCGGTTTCTTCTGCTGCGGATAAACCACAACCACAAGAGAAGGCCCGGGACTCCAACCAGGGCCCAGAAGTCCCCCTGTTGCAAGGCAGCCCAGAGCAGGGCTCCCCAGGCCCTGACACTGTGCTCCAGGCTGCTCTGCTCCAGCTCCTGCAGCAGCCGAGTCATCTCTCTGTCCAGGAGCTTTTCACGCAGCTCCATGCGCAGACGGGTGACCTCATCCAGTCCATCACCCACCATCTGTGGGTACTGGATGAGGGTTTGCAAAAGCACGAGAAGAAACATTCTCGCAGCCATGGCCTGCAGGAGGAGAGAGAGAAGGGATTGAGTGGGGCTGAAAGGGAGGGAAGGAGCGAGAGGTGAGGGGAGTACGAATGGGAGCAGCGGGGATGTGGAGCAGGAAGGAGAGGGCCCCAGGGCAGCTGGCAGGCAGCAAGGCCTGTCCCACTGCCCCAGCAGCAGCAGCACCATTCGGTGCCCCAGGTGTTCTGGTGAGGGATTGGCCCTGGGTGCAGAGGGAGAACCCAGCCCCAGGGGCAGCGTTTCGGCCCCGACCCTCGCCCAGCGCAGCCTCGCCCCTGCGCGTGTGCACTCACCACTTGTCCAGGCTCGACTGGGGCAGCGTTACCTGCTGGGGCCATCTCTAGCTGCCCCCACTGTGACACAATGCCTGTGATGTCACAAGAGCCACATCACATCACAGCCAGGCCAGCCCCGCCCTTCGTCCCCAGCCCAGCTCAGCAACTTCCAGTGGCCCTGGTGTAAGGCTTAAGGCTGCCTTGGAGTTAATCTTCTTCCAAGAACTTCCATTCTCCTTTCTTTTGCATTTATTCTCATCTGTTCCTCAGTGGCAGTCACATGGAAGAGCCATGTTTGAAGGGACCCTTGAGGGTGTTGGACTGCAAGCCTGACTCCACACTGCTTGAGCTGAAGTTAAATCTCTGAGTCACGGAGGTTGGAGAAGACCTTGGAGATCTTCTGTCCAACTGCCAACCTTACACTGCCTATTCCACCAATAAACCATGTCCCCAAATGACACATCAACAGACCCTTTAAATGCCTCCAAGGGTGGGGAGTTAGCCTTTTCCCTGGGCATTCTGTTCCCAAACTTGATAAGCTTTTTGGTGAAGGAATTTTTCCTAGGATCCAATGGAAATCCCCCCTGGCACAACTTGACGCCCTTTCCTCTTGTCGCAGTGCGTGTTCCCTGGGAGAACAAACCATCCCCCGCCTGGCTACCACTTCCTTTCTGGTTGTAAGAGAACGATTAGGTCCCCCCTGAACTTCTTTTTCCTCCTGCTAAACACACCCAGTTCTCTCAAACACTTCCCATCAGACTTGTACACCTGTCACTAAAAATCCTCCAAAACCCATGGGACAGTAAAACCCTCTAACACTGCATTTTACTGTTAGAAAGCAAGGCATTACTTTATTCACAATCCTGGCTGGGTCCGTGTCCTACAGAATCCCGACCGCTACCCAGACACCAATGCAACTGTTTTTCACCTCTTTATTAATTTTTAGGAAAGAAAGAAATGAATGTTCATCGGTCCTAAATGACATAATTCACTTTCATTGAGGATTGATCTCTCCTCTACTGGTTATTAATTCCTCCCTGTTCATGCGAATTAAGTCCATACTTTTGATCCTTTTATTCTGTTTTTGCCCCGGTACGGACTTTCCTTTACATATACCGAGTCTCCTAGAGTCTCTTCTTTATCTTCTGGTTTCTGTAAAATATCCTTGTGGTCCATAAATTCTGCATGCTCGATTTCCAACTTCAGCAACACACCTTTCTCTCCCTATCAGAGTTGCTTTATCAAAACTGAAAGTTTCAGTGTTTTCTCAAGCTGCGCTCCCACAATAGCAGCTCATGTCAAATGCTGCTGAATGCAAGCGACAAGTGATTCAACAGACTGTGTATTATTAGTTAAAACAATTATTAACAAGTTAATGAAAAGAGAGATCATTTCCAGCAGGACCACAGTGGTTTCACGACTCTGCTTTGCCGCCCTGACAGAGTCTGGACACCTCAGTGTGGTTCTGTTTTGTCCTTGGGAATTGCCCATCCCTCCAGAGGGACTGGCTCAGTAGTGCCCCCAAAATGCCCCTGGCAGCACATGGGTGTGCTCGGCTGCCTCTTTGTGCTGGAGGGGTCTGGCCTTTGCTGCCACTGCTGTCGTGGCCTGTTCCAGCCTTCTGCTCTCGACACGGGCATGTTTTGGGCCTTCAGCTCTGCCCTGCGCTCTGCGTGGGCAGCAGGCCTTGCCTTCAGCTCTGCCCTGTGCCCTCAGCACAGGCCTGATGTGCAGGCCTTAGCAGGCAGCTGCAGGTCCAGGCCCAGCCCTTCCCCACATGCACACACACACTCCCAGGGATTTGGTTCCCACCCATGGCAATAATTCAGTGAGACTGGGATCCAGGATCTCTCAACCCACACAAGAGAAAGGATCCCCCTACAAAAGGAAGAGCTGCCAGAGGGGAGGAAAGAAACTCCTCCAGTCCTTTGAGGACAACTGCCATCCTTTATTCCACAGTGGGGGTGATTTGGGCAAGCCAAGCATCTGGAAAGGGTTCTTTCTCTCTCCCCCTGCTCAGGTTGCTTTAAGAAGACGCGGAAGCAACTAGAGACAAAGGAAGATGGACGTTCTGCAGAGGGCAAGCAGCTCTCCAGCCCTTCACTTGTTGTGCCTCTGCAGGAGCAGAGGGGGTTCCCTAAATCTCTGGTTCCAGCCAGAGGCCATTGGTGGCTGCGTTTCTACCCTGCACAGAGCTCCCCTTCGAAAGGATCGCTCTGCTCTCTTGAGGTGCCTGGTGCAAAATGCCCAGTCTATGAGAGGGAAGGAGAAGAGCAGAGAACAGGTCTGGGAGTGTTAAAGGCCTGGTGGGCTGGGACTTGGAGAAACCTGGTCTACTGGAAGGTGTGCCTGCCCATGGCAGGTGGGTTGGAACCAGATGAATTTTAAGGTCCCTTCCAGCCCAAAGCATTCTGTGATTCGATGAGCAGAGGGGCCGGGTGGTAGGAGGCCTAATTTAGGATGAGAAGCCATTCAGCACTCTCAGTTTGCTTGAGGTCAATGTGACTGTTCATGAGCACAGACTCACAACTAGTGTGATTTACCAAGCCTCTGGGCCTGGTGGAGTTCCACACAAACTTGCACGATCCAGATTCTAGAATAGCACTCTTTATTGAAGCAAAGGGAAAGGAGTTTCTGGATTGCCAGTCCTAAATGCAGTGACTACCGAGCGTTAATACTTTTTGAAACAAAGAGTGGGAGATCTATTGGTACTATATTTATGTAATACTAATATTATATCAAGTCAACTACCTATAAAATATAAGTATGCATTAAATTAAAAATTATTTAGTTATATATTAAAAGATTAAGGTCAGCTGCAACTGTGTCTGGGGATGACAGACTTCGTGCAATGGTGACCTAAAGGTGTCCCTTAAGGGGACAAGTGGGGCCAGATTTTTTTGTGCTATGCTTTTATAAAAAACTAATGTTATATTCAATAAATTATAGATCTATGTGCTATAGTAAATATCTCTATGTCCTATTAGTTTTAAATATATATATACACTAAAGAAAAACTTTTAAATTTATATCTAAAAAATTTCAGGTCAGGTCCAGCAGGGTGAGTGCAACCTTGACCTAAAGATAGCCCTTCAGGGATAAATGAGAGATATGCTTTGGGATGAGCAGATTCTCCAGCCAGGCCACCACGAACACAAGGAGCAATAGTGGCGATGCCTATCACTTGAGCCCTGAGCAGCTGGAGGTACCAGAAAGAATTCCTGGGTCCACCCAAAATGGCCACAATGGCCATGAGAGTGGGAGGGGAAAGGAGGATGAAAGTCATCTTTGTAGCCCCCCTGGTCATCACTGCAGGTTGTGCTGGGCAGAGGGGAATGCTGATGGCAGAGTGCTGCTGCAAAGGGTTTTCCTTTCCCTCTCTCTGTTCCACATGCTCCTCACTTTTTTCCTTGCGGTAGGAGGTGCTTGTCTTTGACCAGCTGTGAGCCCCCCAAGCACAGCTGTGTGCAGGAAGACTTCTTTCAGTGGCCGTCGTGCAGCATTCTTGAGAGCCGATGTCCCAGTTCACGGCACTCGTCCATTGCCTGCGTGTGGGCGACCGGATCCTGTGCCAGGCGATGGAAGAGGTTGGGTGGCTCGGCGGTTTTGACATCCGGGGGCAAGAGAATCTCTTGAGGAAATGTCCGGTTGCCCACAACAAAGTGGTCAAGGCGTTTCTCCTCCAGGGAGCCGCGCAGGTACTCCATGGTATCCTCCAGGCGCTGCAAGAAATGCGTCATGCGCCAGCCTGACAGAGGTACGGTGTTCAGGAGGTGCATCACAATGGTCTTCAGGGTATAGGTGGTGAAGCCTATCCCCAGAAGAGCTCGGGCCAAGAGCTGCAGGCACTTGAGGTGCCAGCTGTTACGTGGAGCCTGATTAGCAATGATCCTGAAGAACTTCATCTCTGCCACGGCGTAGGTCTCAGGCCACACTGTGCTTGGGGTGAAGAGGGACTCTGTAGGCTGGCTGCTCACGTAGATGTCTGAATTGCTGACTTGCACCCCAAAGAGCACCTCAACCGTCAGGCTCTGTCTGCCTCTGGTCAGTTTGAATTTGCAGCAGCGGCTGGAGGGCAGCAGCACTATTTGCCAACTGTGTGACTGAGGCAAAGCCGGCCAGGCCGCTCTCACCAACTGGTAGAACCAGCGGGCAGTTTTCTCCACATCCAGGTAGGAGCCAGTGCAGAAGGTGTTTAGGAAGTTGGGCTCCTTGTTCCTCCTCTGCTCTTCTTCGGGGTGGTGGAGGGGGCACAGCACGTTGTCATCCTGCTGCTCCCTTGGACAGGTGCACACCGGCTCCACGCAGATGAAGAAGTTCCTGCCAGGCAACTGCCCTGTGGTTTCCATCTCCAGATGGAAGGTGTGCCCCGGGGGAGGATTGAGAGGTACAAGGACACTGTACACCACATCCTCCTCCCGGGGACTCCAACCTTCAAAGGCACTGCCCACCCCAATGGCTCGTTGCGGCACTGGGTATGAACTGTTTGACAAGATCTCTCTAATGATAGTCACAAAGGTGTCCATCAGGAAAGTTGTCATCTCGCTGCCTTCCTCCAGGTCCTGAACAGGCCACTGTATGTGCTCCTCTAAAAGCCATCTCAGGTTGTGGGGAATAACATCATCTTCTTCTACTTCATTTACAGCATCATGGTCTTCTCCTTCAATTGCATCACCGTTGTTGACTTCCTGCCCAATTGCATCACGGTTTTCTTCCCCTTCATTTCCACCACCACCACCATCTCCTGCCCCCTCCTCCCACCCATTGTTGTCTGGCTGGCGGCTTCTTCTGTTGCGGATAAACCACAGCCACAAGAGAAGGCCCAGGACTCCAGCCAGAGCCCAGAAGTCCCCCTGTTGCAAGGCAGCCCAGAGCAGGGCTCCCCAGGCCCTGACACTGTGCTCCAGGCTGCTCTGCTCCAGCTCCTGCAGCAGCCGAGTCATCTCTCTGTCCAGGAGCTTTTCACGCAGCTCCATGCGCAGACGGGTGACCTCATCCAGCCCATCAGCCACCATCTGTGGGTACTGGATGAGGGTTTGCAAAAGCACGAGAAG